TATATATATATATATATCTATATATATATATATATATATATATATATATATATATATATATATATATATATATATATATATATATATATATATATATAAAATCACTCCTCTCCTTCAATGAAGCAAGTAGGGGTGTGCACCGGTCTAAGATCGGACCGCATCGGAACCGGTTTGGACCGAAACCGAAATCATGTTTTTGCTTGACCGAAGACTGGACCTGCCTGTAACCGGTCTGGACCTCTTTTTTCCGGTCCGCTCGAGATTTACCCTACTTTTGACCGGATTTTTTTATTTTTTTCTAAATTTCTCACAAATCAATTCTAAAAGCAACATCTCTCTAAAAAAATCAGCATCAATCTATACACTCGCAAATTATACAGTAGAATAGAGAAGCCGGCATCATTCAATAAAAAACATGATGTTCCTATTGTTCATTCAACATAGAAAAATGCATATACAGGCAAGTTTCTATAGAATAGAGTCAATAGACTTTAAGTGAAAATGTCTACTTTTGTCCTACTTCATTTTTATACGATTTGTTTTTAGAAAAAACGAAATTTCATGTGGCCCACTTCACACTTTCTGAGTTGTGACAACCATAAAATACTCTTTTTTAATTAAATTCCACAAACAATTTATTACTCCATCCCTCCCACATCATTTGTTTATTTTTTTACTTTTTTTAATCGAAATTTGTAAACTTTGTCCTTGAATTAAGTAGAGTGATATTAGATATTGATACAAAAATAGTTTTATCAGATTTATTATATAAATATTTTCAAAATATTATTTTATCTATTTAGTATACACTATATATTTTATATAATTATAGGTCAAAGGTTAAAAATGATTGACTGAAAAAAGTCAAAATTGGACAAATATTCAAGGACGGAAGTAGTAATAACCATACGATATGTTATTGTCTTATTGAGATTTATATAAATAAAAAAGAAAAATTGTATGAATCACACTATTTTTTTAGGGAAAAGACCAGAATAAGAGTAAAACATTGATAATAAACCAAAATAAGAAATCTATGTTTTTATTCACAAAATAGACGTTAAAATAAATTCACATTACCAATCATTATCATATATATTACAAAAAAATATAGTAAAATATACATGTGCAGTGTCACATTACCATAAAGCGAACTCCTATCTAGAGAATAAAAACAAACTTCTATTTTGATACTTTCTCTATGTTTTACTCCTATTTGAGTAATTTCTTTTTTTAATGTTTTTTAACAAATTTAAAAAATATAAAATCGATGACGTGAATATATGTGAATCAATAAAGATGACGTGAATATAAGTGAGTCAATAAAGTCAATATATCCAGTTAATCTATATACTCCGTCAATCAATGGGAAGGATTGAGGAAGACTAAAAAGTGGAAAGCTAATTAAGATCCTAAATTTTGAAAAAGTATTTGGCCATTCATGCGAATCAATCATGGACTTACCATGTGTTTGGATGCAGACAATATGGAAGGAAGGAAAAAATTAATTATTTTAAATTTCATTGGTGCATCTAACCATCTAGGTCTACAAAATTTAATTATTTTTCCACGATTTTGTAATTCTCTCAGTGTTCTAAATTAATTTTCTTGACTAGGTTTGGTACACACATTAAAAAAATAAAATTGGGCAATTGAAAGTGATGCAGAGGAGAGACAAAGATAACGAGTCACAAAAAACTTTCCAATAAAAGAAAGAACCAAAACATCAAAGTTTTTGGGATTCCAAATAAGAAATAAAAAAATTAATTTAGGACAGAGAGAATATATGATATTTTGTCATTTTTCATTAATAAAAACAATATCTCCATTTTAAAAACGTTCTAACATTTTTTTAATGTACATTACTAAAATATTTCTTACTTTATTTGTTATCTTTCTAATAAGCTAACATGTGACTTGAAAACTTCTATTATCTAATTTAAGAAAATATCAACATTACACTCTTCACTTTAAAAAAACAAAAAACTAAGTTGAATTTTTTTAGAGAAATTATAAAAAGAAAATTGGGAAGTTTTAGTGGCATTTTTGATAATTTTAGAGAATTTAAGGTATTATTAAAAGAAAAAAATCAAGTAACATTTTTGACAAAACATAATACTTGAGTGACACTTTTGAACATTTTAGGAGGAATGCGAGTATGCAACAGAAAAGGTTGATAGGTTAGAATATGCATTCACTTTGGCATTTTAAAAAAAAATTAAACTTGAGAAATTTTAATCAGTTTCATTAAGTTTGCAATATATATATAACAAATTTTTAAAAAGTTTTTCATAAAATAAATCTAACAAAATTATTTTCTGACTAACATACAACACAATTTTTATTTAATTAATGATCAAAATTTGTAAAATTTATGGTACGTCTGGTTGGGAGAAAAAACTATTTTCCCAAGAAAATATTTTCCAATGGAAATTATTTCCTCTCCACATTTTTCATTGTTTGGTAAAAAGTACTACTCCGTAATTTTTCTTCCAAGAAAATGTTTTCCTTGTTTCGTTCTTATAAAGCAAGGGAGAAAGACCAAAGTAGTAATAAAACATAAGACATATCCCTCAAAATAAGAGTTGAAACATAAACTCTCCTAAATAGGAATAATTAACTTAATTAATCTAATAATTTAGAGTTAAGGAGCAAAATAGAAGTAAAACATCGATCATGTACCAAAATAGAAGTTATATTCATATTACAATGAAATTAAATACATTGTATCAATTAAAAAAATCTAAATTAGCTACAGCCCTTGCCGCACATGTCACTGACGCCACTCTTGCCGCCATCGTCGGTATTGTCGTTCCCGTCACTCCATCGCCACAATCTCTTGTTGCCAATGTCATCGCTATTAAATGCGGCCATCATCTACATTGTTGGTGCCACTAACACCGCCACGATCGGCACTATCACCGTCATCGCCACCACAATCTACAACTCTCATGCCCATTTGTTGTGGATGCCGCCTCCATTGCCCCCATTTTCTGCTGTCAATGTCAGAATTTACTGCCATTGTCTCCACCATAATGCCATGGTGTCACTGCCAAGGGAGAAAGCTTTCAATTCCAATACAATGTCAAAGACGATAATGCATATTAACAAACCTGTCATTGCATAATGCCAAATATATTATTGGGTAATGCCAAACATGTAAATATAAAATGTAAAAAAAGTGAAATGTTAAGATTGGCAACATACAATGTCAAATTTCTTATTAATATCACCAAATTTTGCTGAAATTGAGAATATTATTTAAACACAACTAATAGGAAACCAGTCAAACAAAAAAATTAAAAGGAAAAAAAAATCAAATACAAAAATGAAAAGAAAACACCAAACCAAAATCAATGCCTAATGAAGATACAATTTTTCGGAGAAAAAAAGGAGGAATGCAATTAGTTGGAAATATTTTTACTTCTACAATGCAATCTCAATTATAAAGCATTTGGAAGCTAATTAAAAAACAAAATCATAGTCATCGCGACTGGTGGTAATCTCAAATATGATGGATATAAGTAGTGTGATAGATCAGCAAGGGGGAAAGATAGAGGCACACTACGTGGCGGATCTACATGGGATGCTTCGTGACAAATCTACAAAGGGGGAAGCTGGTGCGGCGGCATTGTAAGGAGTGGGGCGGCGGTGATGTACTCCATGCACTTGGGGTGGATTTGACAGAGGCAGCGCTTCAAAATGGTAAGGGTGGTGGCCAAAAATGGGAGAGAGGGAAGAGAGAGAGAGGCATAGTGGGTTGGCCCTGAGGAGATGGACCAGAGATAGAAGAGATTAATTAGAGATTTAATACTATTTAGGGGGTTTTTTATAAAGCAAAGTAAACATCAAAGATTAGTTTTTGATATTTGGAGAATGAATNCAGTGGGGTGGGGTGGGGGTGGGCTGGATGGGGCGTTGGCTAGGGTGGGACGGGGTTGGGGGCAGGCATGGCAGGGCGATGGTGGACGAAGGCGGAGAGTGAATGAAAAAATTCCTTCACTAAAATATTTTCCTATCATTTAAGTTACCGAACAAATAAAATTAGAATGAAAATTTTCGAAAATATATTTTCCCAAACCAAACACTACCTTAACTTTAAAAAGTCAAAGAGATAAATTGAGGCATTCAAATGTTAAAAATAAGGTCCATAGACGACAACACCCCCTTTGTCGGGGCATCATATACCGTGATTTTTGAGATAAAGCATTACCCTATATAACCGCATCGTACAGACCACGTAGTACCATTATAATGCTCTCTTGCTTTCCCCTTAACAGTGTTTTAGAATAATCAGTTTTCCCTTCCTCACAGAGACTCAATTCAGTGATAATCTAATGGAGGGTCTGATCAGAAAATTCTTTGCCACATCAAATGATTTCATCCACAATCAGCAACACATTACACCAGTGGGTTCCCAGATGGGATTCTTCAACAACAATGTCGAAGCCCAGATGAAGAAAACAGAGGGAGAGGAACAACAGGGGGACTTCCCGGATGCCACACTCAAGTACATAAGCCAGATGCTGATGGAGGAAGAAGAGCTGGAGACTCAGCGTTGCATGTTCCGAGACGCCATGGCTCTCCATGCCACGGAGAAATACTTCTCCGCTGTACTCGATGGCACTGTAGCCAATAACACGTGTCCGCCTCAGGACGGCTTCTCCTGGACCTGTGCTCTAACAAACTCTTTTTCTTCTTCTTCTTCTGACGAACCTTGCTTTGGTTTGAGTCTTCCGGCCTCGGTGGACGCCAGTGAGGAAAGGCAGGGGAGGGATCATTCGCCTCCCAAGGGGAAACGGGATCACAATTCGTTTTCTTTGTCGTCTGACAATAACGGTCCTGCAGGGATGATGATGAGGAACAACAAGCACTTGGCGAGTTTCTGCGACGAACCCGAGACATTCGATGACTTCTTTCTCTTTACCAAATGCAGAGACAAGAAAGAAGAGCCGAGGGAGCAATCCAAGGGAGGAGGAGGACGAGGGAGACGAGGAAAGAAGAAGAATAAACAAGAAACAAAAAAGGAGTTTGTGGATTTCAGAGGCTTGCTGACCCAATGTGCACAGTCCATGGGGGACTATGACATTGGGACAGCCAGCGAGACTCTGAAGAAGATCAGGCAGCACGCTACTCCTCAAGGCACTGGCATGGAAAGGGTGGCCTTCCATCTTGCAAATGCGCTTGAGGCGCGCTTGAACGGCAGGGGAACATCAATATACACGTCTCCTCAGGGCAATGTATCAGCGGCGGACATCTTGAGAGCTTTGCAGATGTATCTCACCGCAAGCCCTTTTAAGATGGTCACAAGCATGATGGCCAACAGATGTATCGCCAAGCTTGCGGGTGGAGGAGCAACCAGGCTGCACGTCATTGATTTTGGAATTTTTTATGGTTTTCAATGGCCATCTCTGATCCAAGCTCTCTCAACGATGCCTGGTGGGCCCCCAAGACTTCGTATTACTGGGATAGACTTTCCCCAGCCCGGTTTCCGCCCTGCAGAGCGGGTCAATGCCACCGGGCTTCGGCTCGAAAAGTATTGCCAGAGATTCAACGTCCCATTTGAGTTCAACGCCATAGCGAAGAAATGGGACACTATAGAGCTCGAAGAATTACAGTTAGATAGGGAGGATGACGTGGTAATTGTCAACTGCTTGGACCGGATGGGAAACGTGCCTGACGAGACAGTGGTGCCGAACAGCCCGAGGGACATTGTCCTCAATCTCATCAAGAACATCAATGCTGATGTGTTTGTCCATGGAGTTGTCAACGGGACCTACAACGCCCCGTACTTCGGCATGCGATTCCGAGAGACACTCTTTCACTTCTCCTCACTGTTTGACATGCTTGAGGAGACCGTGCCACACGAAGACAATGACAGGTGGCTTTTTGAGGGAACGGTGCTAGCTAGAGAAATGCTGAATGTGATAGCTTGTGAAGGAACAGAGAGAGTTGACAGGCCAGAGACGTATAGGCAATGGCAGGTTAGAAGCCTTAGAGCTGGGCTCCAGCCACTGCCACTTGATCAAGAGATTGTCAAGGGTGTAAGGGAGAAAGTGAAATCAGAGTACAACAAGAATTTCACCATGGATGAAGATGGGAACTGGTTGTTGCAAGGATGGAAAGGGAAGGTGCTTCATGCTGTCTCTTGTTGGAAGCCTAGTAACTAGCTGGAATTTCTCTGTTTTAATCCAAATTCGTTTGTTCAAGTCAATATTATGATAGGGTCACAAGTAGGAATCGCTAACGCTCAAAACGTCCACGTACCCAAGAAACTCGCAGGAGAATATATGAAAGTTGTCCACATACGCTTATAGCACAGCACACTATGACACTATCATTACTAATAAAAGGGAATGGCAAGAGCAAATTATCCAAGAGCAAAAGAATCAGCCTTTACCTATTGTTTTTTATTTTGATGCTTTAGTGGCCTAAGGACATTGAAACCCATCTTTTCACATGTGGGGTGCTTCTAGGATTTTGTCTTGCCACCTGACGATGGTCGTCCTTCATGAGCATGCCCATTTTTATGTGTTGCAAATGAACATCTGAGACAGTGCTATCTTGCTTCCTCTTGTTATCTCCCTTTGCATCTGTGCTGGAGTTGTTGACTTTTGACTTCTCATGTCCATCTCCACTCGACCCATTTTCTATGGAGCAATCAGTTAAATGTAAGAGCTAGGTACGTTGGAATCTATTATCTATATGAAATTAATGAAGAAGAAACCTTGGGATAAGAATGCGAAAGTGATCTCATATTGCATGTAAATAAGAAATCACCCAAAATAGGAGCAAAACATAACCCTTATCTCAAAAATAGGAGTGTAATGTTTTTATCCTCAAAATAGGACTATTGCACTATGAAAATGTGGCTTTGTATATTGGCATTCCACAATATTTATTGGTATTATATGTTGGCATTACAGGTCCTATTTTGGGATAAAAACATGAAGGTCCTCCTTGCTATGTTTTAATCCTATTACGTTCCTTTTCCCTATGTAAATTAAGCTACAAACCTAAAAAGAACAACGAGATACTACTTGGCCAAATAAAAACCATACACTTTAGCTCTTCAAGAATAGCTCTTTCATGAACTTTGAAGCTTTTAGTTCATTGCATGTCAAATGTAATATTGAAAGATAAGTAGTCATTGAGTTTTGAAACTTTCCCTACTTCCGAGTAGGGGCAAGGTCTGCGTACACACACTCTCCCAAGACCCTACTTTAGTGGGATTCAACTGGGTTGTTGTTGTTGTTGTTCTTGTTGTTGAGTTTTGAAACTTAAAGTGCCATACAAGGAATCAATTCACCATAACCCACATTTAGACTTAAAGTCAAAATTATTGTATAATATTTTAGTTTGTAGAAGTTTTTAAAATTTTGAAATGACATCCTGCCCCTTTTTGCCCCGGAATGAGGATCTCCTTCCATAATAACAACACTGAAATTGAAAAGTCATTGAAGTTTCATCTAAGCACCAAAAAAAGGGAACTGTAATAATGGGATAAAATAAGAACAAAGCTGTGAGCATGTATAACTTAAGTGCCCCAGAGTCCTGGACGTTCATCTCCTTAACTATTGAGTACCCCCAAACTCAAGGACTAGAATACTTAACAAAATTCTAAATGCTGTGGTTCTAAAAGTTTGCATCTAAAGAAGGGGTAATCCATTATTCAAGTTAAACATTTGGTCATGCTGTCACAGTCCTTCCATTATTGTCAAACTTGTTTCCATTTATCCAAAACTAAGAGTCAGCAAGAACTAAATGCTGAATACTAAAAAAGAATGGGAATCAAATAGACACCGTAACTCTTTATAGAAATGCAGAAGAAAGAATTGCTCACACCATCGTTTGGGAGCACTCGAAGAAGTGAAGATACGATCAGGCAAGACGTCTTCGGCCTCCTTAGCTTTCTCCTCTCTGTTGTTGGGTGCCCTTTGCATAAACTGCAATGAATGACACCCCAACTTCTTTCATTAGCGAATCTCACATCTCAATAATAAAAATTACTGTCTTGGACCTAAAGAATCCAGGAGTTAATAATGTACCTTGTCTACCATAATAATTTCTCAAACACACACACACACACACAGTAGAGCAGATAAGTTAAAGGGTCGTAAATAAAGAGTAATTGCGTATTGATTCAAGTAAAATCCAGTCCATTGCTTTCAGGAATATCAAAATTTTGTATGGATTTCAAAAAAAAAAAAGCAAAAAGAAAACTCACAACATCAATGCTTCTAGGTCACATTTATTTTTACCTTCAAGTTTCTCAAAGTACTGGATAGCTCGCGCTTAGCCATTCTGGTCTCCGAAGGCATCCAAATGAATGGTTATTAGCTTGCTTCTCCGGTGACTCCGTGCCAAATTCACTGGCCGGCGCGTTATGAAAGACGATCTGTAAAGAATTGCCATTGATAGGTGGGGGGTTGGAGCAGTTAGGCTTGTTCTTTAAGGGGCTGTTTGGCAACTTCTGAATAGTTAAGTGCTGAACCAGAGGTCTGAACCATTAAGAGCTAGTATATTGCTTAACTATTCAGAGGCAAATGTCTGATCAATTCAGATACGAGGTCTTAACCATTCAGACTCTGTATAATACTTAACCATTCAGAGGCAAATCTCTTAACCATTCAGACATCTGAACCATTAAGAGGCTGAAACAAACAGTCTGAACCATTAAGTGCTGAACCATTCAGACATCTGAACCATTAAGAGGCTGAAACAAACAGCCCCTAAGTCAATCTTATTAGTTGAATTGGAATTATAGTTTAAATTGAATAGATTTATGAAAAATGCTAGGTGTACATCAAATGTGTACCCTATATGTCTCCCACTCCCTCCTTGTCCACTAAAAGCAAAACAATTTTAAAAAAATAAGTAAATAAAAATCAAATAAAAATGTGTGATGGAGAAGGGGGTGGTGGACAAAAGTAATACTCCCTATTACAAAACAATTCTAATTTTGACAAAGTGTAGGAAGTGTTAATTGGATAGCTGGTTGGGAGATGAAGAAAACGTGCAAAAGTCATTATTTACGATCCTGGGAAAACATGCTCTTAAGTGAGGGTATGAAGCATTAAAGCATTTTCCACCTCAACGGAGCGCCGTAGAGATTTGATATATAATGTAACATTAAAATTTAATGTGAAAACTCTATGATGTTTAATCATCCTGTCCTATATTAATTTTCTACTTATTTAAAACACTCATGTTAAAAAAATGGGATTAAAACAACTAGAGCAACTTTCATAAATAGTCTTGAATTGCAAGTAGTTTTCCTTATTTAGTCCTGAATTATACTCTCTCTGTCCCACTTTAAATTGCATGTTTGCCTTTTTTCTCCATCCCAAAATAAATTGCTTGTTACTTGTTATCGTAAACTTTTATGAGTAAAATACCTAAACTAACCTTAAAATAAATCATTATTCTTCACTTTATCTTCTCGTTCATCGTCACCCCTCCTAAAAAGTAATGGCAATTTTGGAAAATCAACTATATTTCTTATTTTCCTTAAATATACCCAAAAGTCAAAACATGCGATTTAAAACGGGACAGAGGAAATAAGATACTACATAAATGGTTTTAACTTTTTAAAACTACGGAGCATTTCATAAATAGTCTTTTAGGTCAAATATGAAAAAACCACCTATAATTAGGAAAAACTAGACTCGTACCCGTGCGTTGCACGGCCTAATTATAAATTATATAATAGGGAAAGCATTGATGAAAGAAAATGATAAAATTAAATTATAATAACACACACACACATATATATATATATTAATTGGACAATCAATCTTCCAATTTAATATGATTTGACATAATGTACGCATGGAGTCACTCGCCAATTTTACCACGCACATGGTTTAAAAGCAATAACTATCCATTTATTTATCTTGATTTGACATAAAATTTGCAGAACATTACTACGCTTGCGGTTTCATATCAATACACTACTCATTTATTTATTTTAATTTGATATAAAGTTTGCATGGAGGCACACACCAACTTTACTACGCACGCGGTTCCATAGCAATACTGTACTCTTAATTTGACATAAAGTTTGTATCGTGTCACACACTAATATTATTACGTACGTGATTTCATATCAATACACTATCCATTTATTTATTTTGATTTGACATAAAGTCTGCTTCGAGTCACACACCAAATTTACTACGCACGCGAATTCATAGCAATACACTACCCATTTATTTATTTTGATTTGACATAAAATTTGTATCGACCCACGCCCCAACATTACTACGCACGTGGTTTTATATCAATACACTACCAATTTATTTATTTTGATTTGACATAAAATTTACATCGAGCCACGCACCAACTTTACTTTTGCACGCAGTTCCATAGCAAAACACTACCTATTTCTTTATTTTGATTTGACATAAAGTTTGCATCGACCCCGCACCAACATTACTTTGCACCCAGTTCCATATCAATACACTACCCATTTATTTATTTTGATTTGACATAAAATTTGCATCGAGCCACACACCAACATTACTACGCACACGGTTCCATATCAGTACACTACCTATTTATTTAATTATTTTGATTTGAGATAAAGTTTGCATCAAATCACGCATTAACTTTACTATGCAGGCGGTTCCGTAAGAATATAGTACCCATTTATTTATTTTGATTTGACATAAAATTTGCATCGAGTCCCGCACCAACATTACTACGCATGCAGTTCCATATTAATGCACAATTAATTTATTTATTTTGATTTGACATAAAGTTTGCATTAAGTCACTTACCAATATAAACTAAATAGATTTGACATAAAACACATTGAGCAACACAATAGATTTGACACTACTTTTACTTTATGGAGCAATGCACCCATGATTTGACATGAACATGTCCAACACATAATCGTATCAATCAACCCACTTGGCCCGGTCCATACCCGAACTCATTACCCGATGATTTTGGCGGGTGTACTGATTCCAAAACCTTCCTAGCATTATAGTAGGATAACTAAAAGTAAATAGTAAAACAAAATTTTATAGAACAATAGTAGGAGTATATAGTAGGATAACTAAAAGTAAAACAAAATTTTATAGAACAATAAAAATGAGTTATAAACAATAATGCTATGATCTAAAAACAATTGAAAATTTAAGCATTGTGTCTTTGATATTGTATCTCTGCAAGACTAATAATTTTTAATGGATCTATAATAATGACAATCCTTAAGTTTGTTCCATGGTTAGTTTTGATTAACAACATCTTAAATACTTCTTTAGTCAATAATATTAGGAATCATCATCATGTATAATAGGATAACATTTGATTCCAGGCCAATTATATTTTTTGAAAAAAAGGAATAAACAAAAACAAAAAAAACTACATTAAAAAAGGCAGTGATCTTTTTTATAAAAATAACCTTTTGAAATCAAATCTTTTTATTACTTGCACCCACCCTTGTGCTTGTTTTACTATTATAGTCTCAGCTATTTTGACTTTATAAAAAAATTAATTGGTGAATAAAATTTAGTTTTCGATAAACAATTACTTTGTATATTATTTTAGAAATAATAATACCAAAAAGCTGAAAAAAGGTAAAATAAAATTTAAATTTAAAAAATGCCTTAGGTCTTCTTCTTTGGGCTAAGTACTTCCATACTTCCACCGTAGCGCTAGTGCCAAAGTATAGGAGGACTAATGCAAGAAGTTTTGGTAGCAGTTAAATGTAGCCGAGACCTCCATCCTCACCTCGCTGCGGTTAAAAACCACCAGATTATAAAGCTAGGTGAAAGATTGGATACCCTAGCCCAAAGTAGATTGCTCCAATGTAACAAATTCTCTTGCGAAAGGACAAACGGAAAACTGAATCGGAACTCTAGACACCCTAGACCTTGTACTTCTTATGATCTTTCAGAGCTAAAATATCCTCTTGTCAGATCTCCCCTTCCTTCGGCTCTGCAATTTCAATATATACAGATTGACACACTAAATGAAAGCTAATTCATAGTGAATAATTGAAATATCAAACGCACGAAATATATAAAATCACATATATACTAATGGAAACTTTTGATATATGATTTTCTCACACAGCTCATTTTGACAATCCTCTAGGGTCATTTTACACAATCCAAACATAGTAATGATGATAAAGGAAAAGGTCTCGAGTTCGAGTCCCACTCTGCGCCAGTGGAACTATGCCTCCCCAAAAAAAACCCTTCAAGTGGTAGGGCCAAGCGGTGTATACTAACCCGTAGGGTCAAGCCACAGTTGGGTTTCTGGGGTATGGGGCCGCGAAAGGGGTGGGGCTAGTCACTATAAAAAGTTTACCCTACCACAGTTTTTTATGACCAGGGATCGAATCCCGCAAGCGGCAGTGTGGGAGCTATCCAAAAATCCCATAAAGGGTGAGGAGGCTCCTTGTGCGCGGTGGGCACGGGTCTAGCGTTCTTGGCCGACTCAGTCACCATAATTTACATCCTCCACCATTCCTGTCGGGCAAGGGGGTGGGGGCGCCTGGGGTGGGCGATTCCACCTTTTGGACCGATGATAAAGGAAAAGAAGATCGAGTGTAATATAAAATTAAAATAAAGTTGCCTGAAATAAACCAATCTAATACCTTTATGCACTGCTTGAGGTGTTCCATGCATGCTAGTACCCAAAGCATTTGCCGATCCCACCCAACAAACTTTGACCAATAGTGGTACACTGGGAACATCTTGTTTGATAGATCCCCGAGGTAATAATGCATAGGAAGGTTCCTACCACCTAAAAATATGTTGTCAATTGGCAAACAATTGATTTTTAGATACAATGCACAGGAGAAGAAACAAACAAAATCAATGGTTAAATACCTCGCCCAGCCACTTACTTCAACTCTCCTTGTAGTTTTTTGCCATAGTCCTTTTGTCGGGGCTAGTGTCATAAACCTAGCCCAGCGCACCGTCATCTCCATCTACTTGTGGGGGCTATAGTAAAAATCTAGCCAAGCCCACCACCATCCTCGCCATGGCCACCACCCATCTTCGAGCTTAGGGTTTTAGATCTGGAATCCCAAAATACCAAAACCCTTGAAGTTAATTGCTGTCAATACGGTGAATAAAGAAATTAAAGGAAAAAAAGAAGAAAAATAACAATACCTCTAATCGAGTCTTCATATCGCCCTGATTGTTACTGGGGTTAAACTTTCATAAAATCTTAGCCTGCCGAGATATACTGTGTTAGTGAAAAACTTGGGTACCATGAAGGAAAGAAGT